ATGCCAGTACGAAGGTGGGGTGGATGGGGGTGGTGGGGACGCGCCGGGGCTTTGTCGGGTGGACGTCCGGTGGGTAGGAGGCGGCATAGGACCCGGAAAAGCTGTGGCGTAGGGGAGCGAGAGGGACGGACAGGGCATGCTCGGTCAGGCCGGAGCTGCGGGAAGCCCAGCAGGGCCTGGGGAAGCCAGCGGGGAACCCGGGCGCTCTGGTGACTTCTCACCCTGCCCGTGTCAGCGAAAAAAGTCCCTCAAAACTTATTTATTTTTTATTAGGAGAACTTTGTAGTTGTATTTAAGTTGTCCTACGTTTGTAATTTTTCTTCTTTTTTCTTTTAAAAAGTCCCATCCTACCAGTCACTTTTCATCCACTTTATTAGCCCTTGATATACCATTAAAATACCCTTACAGAATTGCAGGCTGGTTTTGCTGCCACGGTGTCATCAAGCTTGGCAGAAATGCAGCACCTGTGCAATGAAATACTAAGAATAATGAGTTCAGGGATTTAGCTTTATTTAAATTCTGTGTCTGCAGTGAGGCTCAGTGTCAAATATTCACATGCCTAGTGTGCTTGCAAAGTGATTCATGTGCAGTACAGCACCATAAATGAATAATAAAGGTAAAACTGATACTCTGCTTTTGATACTACTGACAATATATATTGAGTGATACCAGTAGTGGGTTTGTCTTAAATAAACAAGGTATGTACAAAAGTGTATTTATGTAATGCAGATCTCTATGTCTAGGGTCAGGACAAAAGGGGTTTTTTACACTTTAATGTAGAACTTTATTTGCAACTTCTAAACCTGCTAGTTTTAGATCCATTATTACATGGTATCTTTGTTAATATGCATAATTAAATTCTGGTTGGTGTATAAATAATAAACCTATTTTCCCCACAGGACTTTATGTTTCAGCAGACAATGTTAAGAGTGAAGGATCCTAAGAAGTCACTGGATTTTTATACAAGAGTTCTTGGAATGACGTGAGTAGACATTGTATGCTACAATAAGTTCGTTTTTTGCTACTATTCTTCTGAAAAGTTTTTGTTATTTTGATGTAATTATGCTAATTGGTCTAACTATATAAACAATGCTGGCCCATCAGCTGATGCCCAGTTGGACAGTCTGGCAATCTCTGAGAATTCCCACAGCACAGTTAATGCCTAAGATGCTAATGAGCTCATGTTGACCTTGACTAGAAGTTTCTTTTTTTTCTTAAGTAGGTCATTAATGATCAGCGTACAGCTTCCTTACTTCTCACTGAGACTGCTGCTATCTGGTAGCTTTTATGACAGTGCTTATAATCAGGAGTCATTGCTACAAAACTTAATTTTAAGTTTTCTTCTACTTCTCAGAGATGGCTTATGACCGCCTCTGGTCTTAAGAGACCAAGGCAATGAAAGGTGGAAACAAGGTCCAAACTCGTTCTTTTGGAAAAGGCTGCTGGGAGATAGAATGCCCTGCAGTACCCCAGTGTATTCATGCTAAGGCTTTGTGCACGTTCTTGGCATTTGAAGTGAGTTATTTCAAACTAAAATTCTATCATATATTTAAACAGCTTGAAATGTGTTCAGGCTAAAATAAAATAAACTACTACTTTAGTGAATGTGTGAGTGTGAGAAAATAAGAATTAAATACCTGGTGAGCTCTAAAAAGTAATCAGATTAATTTTGCATTAATCTGGTTTAATGTGCCATGTAAAAATGTATACTTCAAGTATTTTTAGTTTATTAAAATTTCATATCTGAAATGGATTTTATCATTATAGTTAGCTATTGAAGTTGTAAAGAGTTTATCTAAAAGTTTGAGTTTTAATCCTGCTGTGTTGTTAAACTTTATCTGGTGCCAGTGAGCTCCCTAGAATGAGTAAGTTTCAAAGTAAATATTTTTAATCCTTCTTGATATTTCCAAGTGGATAAACATAAATGTCTTCCTGAGGAAATAAGGATAAGTAACAGAGTGGCAACCTCAAGATGTGAGCCTTTTTACCAGCTTTGATATTCAGTTACTGATAGTTTGGCTTTTAAGTATCTTATTCTTCTAATTTTTGTAGGTTTGTAATGTGTTCTGGGGTGTTTCTATTTGATAGTTCAAAATGTAGCTATTTTAAGATGTGGATTACAGTCAGGCACAAAAAAAATAACAGCAATAAGTCTTCCATGGTGGAAGCACCTTGGTTTATTTGCAAGCTGTCTGATTACTTCTTTATGTAACTATTTAAAAATAATTGTTGCCGTTTAGACTGCTTCAAAAATTTGACTTTCCTGCTATGACGTTTTCGCTCTATTTCCTGGCATATGAAGATAAAAATGATATCCCGAAAGGTAAAACTGAGAGAACAGCTTGGACCTTCTCTAGAAAAGCTACACTTGAACTGACACAGTAAGTATTAATATTATGAGAGATGACATTTAGGTAACAGTGATTAAACAGAAGTGGATGAGTGAAAATCCTGTTGGATTGAATAAAAAAAAAGTAATCATGATTGTGGAAACATCTTCAGTGTCATATAGCCTTAAAATATGGTTGAGATCTTGGATACTGGGCAAGCTTAATCTTTCTCTTTTCAGAGCTCTTTTAAACTGCTAGGTGAACAGTGGTACAACAATATGAAATAATGCTTGCTTTATTTTGAGTATGCATGCCATCTGGGTAAGGAAGCAACAGAATTTAGGAAAAAATGGAGTTAGAACTTCCTTTGGATCCACAGAGCATCTTAATGCATAACTGTTGCTTTTGGAATCTAATCAAAAGAGGTATCAAGTCAAAACATACATTTCCTGTAAACAGGACAATTTGCTTAATGCTACTAATCGTCGTAATTGTGCAGAAAGAATCTCCCAGATATCCCACTGTCTTGCTTAGTGTCAGGACCTGCTACCCATGCAGTTTGTTCCCCAGTGATGGGTAGATAAATGACTCATGCAGCACAACCTTCTCTCTAATCTTAAGGAAACAGGAGTGTCTCTGACTCATTCAAATGTCAAACCTGAACAGTAGTGAAGGGCTGTGAACATGATGGGATGATCCCTAGGACCTGTGACTAGGGAAAATTTTGATAGTTCAATGAATGCAGCCACCAGCTGAAATTTTCTGCTTTCTTAAGAGTAACAATTTACCCTCCTGATGAAGCTGAACATGTAGAATTTGTTAATTTCAATGCTTATCTCCAATATGTAATTATTACTTACAGCAACTGGGGCACTGAAAATGATGACAGTCAGTCTTATCACAATGGCAATTCAGATCCCCGAGGATTTGGTAAGTCTTTAGTTTTATGTTTGTAGTTTTTAAGATTTGGTTTATTATGATTACTCTTTTTTTCCTTGCATACAGGGGAAAATTGGAGTTTCATATGTTTTGGGTTTTTTTTAGAAAACACCTGTATAAATTCTGTGCAAAGGTTATTGGGTAAATACATGCTATAGGCTTTTTTATGGGAAGTAATGGAGTCAATATTTTAAACTTTTATGGATGAAAAGACTTTTCTTGTAGGTTACTTTGAGGAAAACATATTAGCACTAGGAAAGAAGAGAACTTGCATCTCATCCTTAATCTCTCTTCCAGTATGTATGCTGTGAAAGATTGTGAAAGTAGGTAAACAAGTTACCTACCACAGTTACACTTTTCATAAAGAATCTAATCCTTTGGCAAGCAAACACATGCTAATAGTAACTACTGAATTAAGAACAGTAATTGCTCTTGTACATCAGTTTATCTATGTTTAGACTGATTTATGTTTGGGTTTTTATTTTATAATCCACTGGTTACTCATTTTAAGCTAGAAGGAGAATTCCATTTCTCTGTAGCACTGAGAACAGTGTGTGGCTTGATTTGATATTTTGAGTGCTTCAAAGGTCACTGACTTGTGAAGTAAGTTTCATACTCAATCTAGCCACTTGACATTTAGAGCTACTGAATTGATTTATAGACTCGGGCCTTGCATAGTGCTAGTGTTAGTCTACAAGTGCAGCATTAATGATAGACTTCTTGTACTGTTGAACTGACCAAATGCAACAAAATCCTGTTATATGGTCTTGCTTTGAGAAAGGAAATACAGATTAAACAGTTTGAAAATCCTATTGTTTCCTATTCTAGATAATATTCTCATCTAAACAATGAGATATTTTAGCTCTGAAGTTCCTTTTTTAAAAGGCTTTATCAAAAAGCCAACTTTCTGAAGGATAATAATACTCAAAATGTTTTTCTTTCTGGAAGCAGTGTTTTTCTTGTCATATCTTAAGTGAACTACAGCATGTAAACTTTTTGCAAAAAATGAAATGCAGAGCAAACATTTTCCTAGAACGCCCACCAATACTTACAGTAAATATTGCTTACAGTAATACTTAGGTCTCTCTTTTTACCTTGTTGTACAGGACACATTGGAATTGCTGTCCCTGATGTCCATAAAGCTTGTAAGAGGTTTGAAGAACTAGGAGTGAAATTTGTGAAGAAACCAGATGATGGTAAGTCTTGATCAGAAATGCAAGTCAATTTTCTTTCCTGTTTTTTAGTACATTCTGTGTAGTAGATCTTCCTGGAAAGCTGGGTAATATTTCGAGTTGTTGTTGCTTCTAAGAAGGTGCTAGAACCAGTTACTGCTGCCCCATCTTACACAGTGGGCAATATTGTTGATAGATCCATCTCTGTAACAATAGCTAATCAGCCTAGGTATGTGCCTTCTGTATATAGTCTGACCTTCAGTAAATTTGATGTGCTCTGTTAACATCATATTTTACTATGTATACTATTGCCTAGAGTTACTACGTAATTTACTTTAACATGGATCAAATTTACACCTCCCATCTGTTTGGTTCTTATCATATGAAAGTAAGATGACCTAGAGTCATATAATGGTTCGACCGGACATAATTACTCCCACCCATTAAAACCAAGTAATTATTCTCTTTTCTGGCAATTTTAAATTAAATCCACCTAATGCCACCTACTAGCTACTATCAGTTTAACTGTTCTGTTAGCTTTGGTAGAAATAGCCTCATTAGTCTATATTGTATTTGACTTGTATAACTTTCAGTAAAAAATGCATAATATATGGCTCAAATGTCTAGAGAGTATATGAATAAATAATGTTGTATCAAAATAGCTTAAAATGTGAAAATCAGTGGTGAGAAGTCTTGCATTTTTCAACTGATTCTCTTTCAAGAAGAGACCTCATGAGAGTTTCAGGACTGATGCATTCCAAAACAGACATCTGATGCTCAGCAGCATGCACAAATCTGTGATACTTCTTTCTTCTGGCTATAGAAACTGGACTGTTGCCTGTACTAATAGTGGGGTCATTTTAGTGTGAAAGTAACATTAGTACATGAAGCTTTGGTTTACACATAGTGGTATTCCTTGCTAGAGGAATGAGAACAAGTAATTGAAGAAAGACATGTATTTTTGTACTATTCACTGTGTTCTCAGCTGAAGCAAACGTAAGAAGTGTAACTGAGAGCTTAATTTGAACACAGAGGTCTTGATTTAAGAATTGAACTTAGAATTTGCAGCACTGTAGAGTTTCTAAGCCGGTTTTTAGTTTGTTCAGCACCTTGTGAACCCTGAGAGAGTTGAAGTGAGAGATTCTGTCTTTGATTCTGTATCACTGCACAGCTCTAAGTTGAAGGAGGGGAAGCTTAGACTGTACATGGAATAAATCACGGGAAGAAACTCTTGAAGCAGTCAATGGAGAGGAGAGCAAAAGCTGTTTTTTAATATTTTAGCATTACAAATGTAATTAATGCAGCAAACGCCAAGGAGGAGGAAGAAATTTTTGACTTCACATTCATTGTTTGTGGAGCAGGCTGAGAGACCTCATACTACTTTTTTCCTGCATTACTGAATATAACATCTACTATTCCCTCAGAAGTTTTTATGACTAGAATATATTAAGAGTTAGGTTGGTTCTGTTACAGTAAATAGCCTAATAGAGCAACTATAATTAAAAGTGTGTGTTTAATAATTCAAGATAAAATGGTAATCAGAGCTATCTGATTATCTGATCTAAGACTACTTTTGGGGACACTGTTTTGATGAGTAGTATTTTTTCCAACAGTAAAATTTCAGACATTTCTGCCATGCATTTCTCTGTTTTATGAAGTGATGGAGATGTGTACTGTAAACCGCATTGGGTGGGAGGAGGCGAACAAACAAAAAACAGTGACATGAAACTTGAGTGTGGAGGCAGGAACGATGGGAGATAAACAAGGCAGAGGCACACAGGATTTTGTACTGGCAAAGCCAGTTTGAGAAAATATATCAAAACATCTTGGAGCACAAAAATATTTTTCTGAATTTAAAGGATGAACACTTAAAGGGGCATATGCAGAAAACTTCAGTCATCAAAAGACAGAATTTCCAAGTGACTTTAAACTAGAGCTTTGTTGAGAGTAAGACTGACAATTTAAAAGATCTCATGCAGATTAAAGACTTATGTGGATGTTTTTAGAATTAACAGTCTAAATTTGAACAGATTCTTATGCAAAAGGGAAAAAAGGAAAAATACTTCTCATAGTCATATTTGACATTAAGAACTGTTATGTAGTCTTAACTTCATCCTGTTGGGTTTTTTTGTTCTTTGTTTTTTCCTAATAGGTAAAATGAAAGGACTTGCATTTGTTCAGGATCCTGACGGCTACTGGATTGAAATTTTGAATCCTAACCACATGGTGACTCTCACTTAGTTCAAATGAAATACATTATGTAAGAGATGCCCACTTTGAGTCCCCTGGAGAAAATCAGCAACAGTGTTTGTGAAATTCTCGCTTGAGAGAAATCAATCACGTGTAGAGTCTCCTCTAAAACCAGCCCCTGGGACCTCACTGTACTTGATTCCTTTTTTCTTGTCCTGTGATGCTGCCACAATTTGTTTCCAATTAGGAATACTCAAGTGTTTTTTGGAAGAGCGCTTGCACAGGTTTTCCTCTTGAATGTGGAACGTTATGTTAATACTTCACTAAACACTATGAAAATATATGTGACCAGAAATTCACTGTATCTCACACTGTTTAGATTTAAACTAACAACAACAAAAAAAATCCTGTGATACTACCGATGGGGGGGGGCGGGGGGAGAGAAGAAAAGAGGAAAAAAACCCCTTCAGAATATTTATTTTGTCAGTTCAAAAGATCCTGAAGGCTTCTTGCCCTATCTTGTGTAGTAGAAAATAAAATGTCAGACTAACTTTGACTTGAGTAGTAGCGTGTTTATGAAAGGTCCTAATCATACTTCCATTATGTCAGACAAAACTCTTTAAGGAGCAGCCTTAAGCAGCCTTGCCTGGAACAAGAAACTTGGTGGAGGCAATAAATCAGTCCAGCAGAAAGAATTCAGTCTTTCAGCTTCTGGCTGCTGATTGACAGCCAGGGTAACTTGGCTAACTCATTGCTAACTCATAGTGATCCTTCTTGTCTCTTCCAGCACTAGAAAGAACTTGCTCATGAGTTTTGTTTCAATTATTTATTTTGTTAAATAAAGTCTGGGGCTTTATTTAACTGAAATGCTTTGTATGTTCTGCATTAGGAAATTAACGAAAAGCAGTAGCTGAGACAACAGCTTCCTGCTAGTAGATGTTTTGATCTGCCCTCTCAAAACAAGTGACCGTTACTGAAATGATACCTGTAAACAGCAGGAAAACATGTTACGTGTACATACGTTACAGAAATTACTTGGTTTTATGCTGTTCCACCTGTTAGGAACAGTGTAAACAATGTCAAGTTTTGAAATCCTGTGATTACACCAAGGAAAAGAAAACCACCTCTGCCTTGTCTTACTGTGGTTCCAGCAGCACTTAACTCCTACTAAGTCTTCAGTTGCATGACTGCTGAGTAGTGTAATGGCATTGCAATTCACTTCCAAATAAAGCATTGGTGAAAACTACAAAATAATTTTAAAGCAGTATGACCTGTTGCTTTGTGAACTGTTGAATCCTAGATAACTGAAAGGCTGTTTGTTTTGGTTTATGGATTTTTTTTTTTGAGAAGAAATCTGGTGATGAGTGTATGAATTGGGAGTACAGAAGTGAAGAAGGTAACTGTGTGACTTGATTAGCAGGATGTTTTAGTAACTTAATAATTTAGTAACAGAATAACTCTCAATAACTCCCTGGGTTATAGGTTAAAACAGAAATGTAGGAAGTACTGCATTTTATTTCTACTATGCTAATGTAGATGTTAATGACTTAGTGTTGCTGTCCTGTCTCCTTATGTGAAAAATCCTTTAAATTGTCTGCCTCATCTTAACAAGATAGTTATATAAAAACTCAATAATTTTACAGAGCTCCACATGAAAAATAATTCATAAAATTTAATCCTAAATTGTTTACCCTTAGTAATGAGTAAAATAGATTATATGTTTCATCTGAGCCGTAGGTGGAAAAGGTTTTCTGTTTGTGAAGCAGCCCTGATACTTGAAATTGTCATTTGTGTGATATCCTCTGGCTGGTCTCTTCAGTATCTACAGATACTGTGCTTTAGGTGGTGCCTTATCAGTGTCATATACAATAGGTCCTTTCCCTTCTCAAATACTTGCCAAGTTGCCTTTTTTTCTGTAACAGTTAGAAATGCTGGTTCATGGATGCATTCTCTGTTTCTGTCCTCCTGGACTTCCAGAACTAAAACTTACTGTTTTCTGTCTTGTTCCTTGTGTGGTTGATTGTTCTCCTGTATGTTAGGTCACTTTGACAGGGACAATATAATTATTGCTGTCTAGAGTGAGATTGCCTGAGTGAGCTGTGTTAATCACTGTCACCACGTGATTCCACAGTCTTCTTCCCAGATTTGGGGCTTTTGACATTGCACCTCTTGCCCCAAGCAGGCTCGTTCAGCTTAATAAAGTGGCAAAGATTTTCTTGAATGCTGGATTTTATGCCAAGTTCATTAAGCAGAAATGAGGAGCTGGTTCAAGGCTCCTTAGTTTCCTGAATGAGTAAAAAGAAAACTCTTTGTTTTAGCAGAAGTTAAGTTGGCTCAGCTGACCTCTAAAAAAAGGTACAGAATATTGCAGGACACCTTTCAGCAGCAATTAAGAGAACTCGTAATTTAGAGACTGTAGTGTAACGTTAGTGTGTTATTTTCTGTAGTAAGATGAGAATGCTGCCAAGCAGGAGAGCTACAGCTACAGCAATGAGGCACTCAGTTGTTTGCAGCTTACATAGGGTTTGATGGCTAAACTGTTTTTGTCACATCCCTCCCTTCTGCTGCTAGTGTTTTGAAATAGGAACTCACAATGAAGTAAAACTCAGCTGAAACACAAGTGCAGTTCCTTACCATTCAGGCTAGGGAAAAAAAAATAGAGAACTTCACTTAGGCTGCTAAGTTTTATTTCAGTCAATACATATCTGTCACCTAAAGCTCTATGACTGAAGCGTTGGCAAAGAAAATCTCTAAATTTTACGAGTGTGTAACTTGGTGGTGTGTATTTGACCAAGATGCAGTGCTTCCATTCAGGCTTGTTCCACTACAAAGTACAGGTGTGACTGGAAAAGCTACTGACCCAGTTGTAAGGAACACCGTCATTAAAGCGGGGGTAGCCGGTCAGTCGGATGAGTAAGCTGAAGAGTGCGCAGAGGCACTCAGTGACCGCCCACACCGGGAGGACGCCGCTGCACTCCACCACGGCCCGCTTCCCCTCCGTAGCCGGAAGAGGAAAGGAGACGGCACGCGAACGGAACTACTTTTTCTACCGAGGCCAGGGCGAGCCTGCACGGTTTCCCTACGTCGGCACGCAGGACGGCTGCTGTTGCTACGTGACGTCAGCGCGCCGGTTGACGTAGCGACGGCGGTGGGGCAGGGGGTGGAGGCCTTGTCGGCTGGGCTGGTGAGTCCCCGAGGGGGG